GAGAGAGAGAGAGAGAGAGAGAGAGAGAGAGAGAGAGAGAGAGAGAGAGACGCGGACACAGAAATAGAGAAAGCAGTGGGGACATGACAACAGAAGACGGCACCGAACAACACCAAAAACACTTTCTCGCCTCTCAGCAAACATGACAACCTTATCCAACAGAACAAATGACAAAAGGAGAGGACACTTTTGCTCTTCTGACAACAGCGAATATGGCGAATGTGACGTACGGCTAGGGAGGTTCCCAAGCGTGCAACAATATTCCAAAGGAACTTGTGCACCACATCCATGTTTTCGAGTCCCGTAACAACACGCCCAAAAATTTCATGGGCAACAATGGCATGCACACCGTGTCAATGTTCAAAACGCACATTTGGAAACATATGTCCAATTTCTATGCACCCTTGATGCCCCTAGCACCCTGTCGAGTTTTTCCGTGCACAACCACTTCACCCATCCCTGCCAGGCCCTCGATTTTCCACGCGTTGACGCCACAGATGGGCGGATGGAAAATCTCTGATGGTCCATGGAAATCGCCCACCGATTGTCTTACTCCTAATCCGCCCACCAATCCGAACCGTCGCCCCATGGGCAATCGCCGATGGCACGGTTCCATTGCCAGCACCAGTCCACATCTGATGGTCCATGGAAATCACCCACCAATTGTCTTAATCCTAATCCTCCCACCAATCCAAACCATCGTCTCATGGACAGTTGCCGATGTCCTGGATTAAACATTTCTTCCATTGCCAGCACCAGTCCACAATGTCCAGCCATTAGGACTGCCACAGGTGCAGAAGTAAGATCCCTCACATCCGCCCTCCAATCAAGACCGTCCACATTTTCTATATTGATTGGGATTTTCATGCATACCAATTATTACATCATTAACACGACCGGGTGAAGCCTTAAACGGATACTGCTGTTCTTTACAAACCTAAGAGAGGCATTTGCTTCCCGTTCCCTACACAATGTAACCTAAAAGTGCAGAGCTTAGACATACTCACCACTATCGCAAGTAGACGTTTTGCAAAGTCCCGCAAGACCACATCCCTGGACTGTCAATACACACGGCAATAACAAAAAGATTTTAACACCCCCCCCACCCCCCACCCCCCACACTCCCCCTTATAATCAGTAGTGCATCAAAGTGAGCTCATCAAATACATGCCAGCAAAGGGGTCTGTAGACATTAAACACACATACAAACAGACCCACAGGACAGATTTCAAACACCCCTGCCCTCCCCTATATGATCAGAGTACCGCATCGCAGTTGGTTCATCAAATCTGCCGCAGCAAGGAGGCCATATGATTATTATGACATCAGAGTTCGTTCATCAAACAGACGCCAGCAAGGACGTTGGGAGACGTTACATAGACACACACACCTGCAACCTCGTGACGAATCGGTGAAAGTGCGACATCTGTCATAGTCATCCTTCCTTTTGTGGAGTTCGGTATAGCGATCACGACAACACCCCTGTACATGAGAAAAGCCCAACCAACCTAACAATTTCTTGGTGTTTGTACCATGGCTTTCATTCAAACAAGGTCCAAAAACAGTTCAACAAAACTTGCCACAACTGACATCGAGTGTACACCAAACAACAAACCAGCAACAAAAAAAGAAAAAGACAAAAACTTTAAACCGTAAGGTGCTACTCTCTTTTTGTTTTTTCCCCTCTCTCAGAATCAGGGTTGTCCACCCCCGGCCCCAGACCCTCAGCGGGGGTCCGGGGATGGGCACGCTCGACCCCGGGTCCAGACCTTTCCCCCCCCCCCTAAAAA